AAACATTCCTACCAGAGGTCCTTGTGCTGTATTTTTCGCAGTCATTCCTGGTTAGGTCTTAAAATGTATATATTCTCACTTGGATTACAAACCCTAACATTCTAATATTAATTCCACCAAGTGAAGTGCAAGAATCCAAAATCACTGAAGTCTAACCGGAACAGCCTGTCTAAAAACCAGGCCATCCTGACCAACCGAGCACATATAAAGTAAACAACCCCTAACTCACCAAATGCTCTCGGATAATCCGCGTTTCAGGAAGGAATCTGATTGGCCGTTGATATCATGGAATGCGCAGTTTGGTCTTAGCCAGGATTCCTGGCTTCCGGCAACGGATTATCCAGAGCCTCACGTTCCTTCCCGAGGATCGCAGGCTCGGGGAACGAGATTGGCGGAAAGCATGAAAACGCCAACCCAAGCGAAGGGAAAATGCCCTGGGAACGAGGTTGTGAAAACGCAAAGCATCTCGACTAATTAGAAGGTCCTTGTAGAACAGTGAACTGTAATAACACTTTGAGTTCTCACAGAGTTCACTGCATGGTCTTGGATCTACCTGGAACTGACTGACGGCTGACGTGAATTTCAGCTATGCAATTTGCTGAGGTTTCACTTTTCAGCGTAAGGGATTTTTCCATTGTCATTGATATGATTTTCGCCATGTTCTTAGCAAGCGCCCAAAAGAGAGGTTTCTCCCTGAAAACATATTGAAATGTAATGTTCCAGGGGGGGGGGGGTGATCGTGAATCGGAACCAGATTGTTTTCATCGTTCCAAAGTTATTGCGGTTTCATCAGATGAAAATCACCCGTCTCTTTTCACTGATTCGAATCTGAAAATGAAATCATGAATCTGAAAACGAAATGGTTTTAATGTTGTTGTTGTTGAGATCGTCGAAATTCTCCCTATATTCTTCAGGTAGTTGCATCCGGCTACCAACGAAAGTTTGTCTAGCAAATCCACACGAAGGGCCTTCACTCGAAACGTCGAAATTCTCCCTATATTTTCTGGTCGTTCCATTCCTACCGGCAAAGATCTAGAAAGTTTGTTACTTCAGTAGAAGCTGATATAACAGGCGAGCAGATTTTACTTTACTCTTTAGTCCCATTTATAGTCCCCTAAGTCCCGTGTGTATATGGCTGACAAGTTCTTTGATAAATTTCCCTTTACAAGTTTTATCTCAACGTCAAGACCGCAGTTTGGTTGCCAAAACCATATATAGCCACGTATTTCTGATACACTAATCAAGTTTTCCTTGGCAGCCTAGACTTGCCCAAAGGACTTTGGGAAACATACACACGAACAAATTTAAGTAACTGTTTCCTTGTCCAAAACTCAAAAGCGCTACTGGCACGCGTACGACTAGCTTTGGAATAAATCAAGACTCCTTGGCAAGGGGAACTTTTGCTCGTCTGTTACGGGACACAAAGCCGTATTTTTATTGACGCAGATGATACGTAGGCCGGTAAACTAGCTGCACGCAGCTTAAACGTGCATAAAAACAGTGGGGAATTTGACCATACCAGTACATGCAGCGACACATGTATGCTACATGTCTCAAACTATTAGAGGGGTTAATATCAGTTGACGTTTACGGCAAACCGGTAACCGCAAACGGGAAGTTTCAATTTGCATTTGAAAGGCCTACTCTGGGGCGGTAAATCGCCTTAAATCGCCCATTAAATTGCGGGTTAAAATTGTCAAATTTCTCTTAAATTGCCTAAAATCGCTTAAAATCGCATTAACTCGCCAACATGCATTCTGTTTGATACATTCAGTCTATGTACTCAAGTTTATCAATTGCTGCTATTTTGCCGGCAAATCATGTAATCCAGGTGATTTGCAATCAAAAGTAATACAACATGGATAAATCAAATAAGTGGAGGCTGACAATATTTGGTCACTCAATAGGCACCGGTCATTGATAAAAACAGGCCTACTCTGGGGCGGTAAATCGCCTTAAATCGCTGTGAGATAATGCGATTTTGGGCGATTTTAGGCGATTTACCCCCTCCCCCCCCCCAGAGTAGGCGAAATATTTGGGGTGGGGGAAGGGGGGGCGAAATTTTCAACATGTATGTCAAAGGGGTTTCGTTGTCCGTTTAAGGCTATAAGTTATGCGAATCTTTCAGAACATGAGTCATTTGATGAAATGAATAAAGAGTCCCGAGTTGTACCATTTGACTGATATTAGATACTTTTTCTAAAGGCCCTGTCACACTATTGCGTATCGTACTAGCGTATGCCAGCGTATGAAAAATATCACTCATACGCCGGTATACGCTGACATACGCTAGGGGTACGTTAGGCATAGGTTGTACACGTTTCAAGCACGGCCGCATACGGTGAGGCAGAATTTTTTTTTAAGCCGAACTTTTGTGCGTATCGGACGTATGCTTTATACGATAAGCATACTCTAGGAACACGCTGAATACGCTAGACGCACGCCAGATGTACGATACTCATACGCTGGCATTTCAAAGGATTTTTGTGCGTATGTAAATTATTTCATTAATTTTCATACGCTTCTCATACGTTTCTCTCATACGCAATAGTGTGACAGGGCCTTAAGATATAAAACTGTTTAAAAATGTTATCAGTGACAGTATAGAGCTGTAAGGAATCCTACACAAAACAAAACAGATTGTGCTATGAAACGCGTATGTCGGGAGTTGCACGTGGCAACATTGGCATGCATTGGTACAGAATCATATATTGCTTGCTGTATTGTTTAACACTGAGTTAAGCCATTTAATATATAGTCATTATTTAATATGACAATTACGTTATATATAGTGGGTGTGATTGTATGCTTGTCACTTGCTCCTATAAAACAATGCTTGTGAATTGTGATATTTGGTACCAGACTTTTATATGTCTTTCAAATATGGTCTATTTGGACTTCTAGGATATATTATGATAATCACATCACTCACTTGTGCGATTCGCGTAAACATTCGTGAGTTCGTGCACAAACTCACGCAGAGCAACGTGCGTTTTTTCGTTTTGCAAATTTCCGCTTTCTAGCCAATAGCGAGTTGGAATGAAGACGCGTCACAATGCATGCCTGATTGATGACATAGGCACGGCTACAGGATTTTTTTAAAACCGTCCAGCAGTCATTGTGCTGAACAGAACTCAACAGACTTATACTAGCGAGTCTTTCATCTTGCAAGAACCAGCGATAAAATGACTATGTCAAAGGGTGTACGCGTGGGCTCGATCGCAATTGGATGTTCGCTGTCGGTACTCACATTCATCTCCATGATCTGTGGTATTGTCGCGATGAGCAAAATGAGCAGCCCAGCTGCTGTTAGTATCGGTTTATGGGGACTTTATGTAAGTATAACATTTCACAGTATTAGCGGTGAAGATTGCATTTCCGTGTAGGCCTTGTCCCTTATACCATACCATACCATACCATGAGACAGATCAGTTAAACTAGAATTTTACGTCCTACAATATTTTACAGTTTTATAAGAAAAGACTTCTTTAATGGAATTCTTTAAGTTTTGTGAAATGGAAATCGCTACCCATCGCTTTTAAGACTTTAACTGAACACGACAATTTTTATAAATAATGCGATGTATCTATATTGATACTATTATATAATTGTACATGTGCATGCTAATTCTTTATACTATTTTTGAAACTTTTAATAATTTGTTATTGTTTTACAAACCCTGCAGCATCGTGGAAACCAGTTTCAGCTGAGAATGTTAGTTTGGATAAATATATATAAAGAATATATTGGTATAGAACAAACTTAGCAAGCACTGATGATATTCCAGCATATTTATGACCGTTTAGTGAAAGCTCAGTCGTGCAACTAACTATTCTTAGTATTCTGAGAAGCTTTTCCAAACTTCAGCCTTTATAATTGGTACTAGTGATAAAAATTAAATGGATGTCTAAATGGCAAATTTCCGGCTGTAGTAGTTCAAAATAACGGTATCTTGATGGAAATGAACTTTTAATATTCTCTACTATGTTTACTCGTTATCAGGAATAAAATGGCGACCAAACATAGTTCAACGTTTGAGGATATTTTTTTCGTACTGCCCACGCATTGCCATTGGGCTTTCGAAAACGAAGATTCCCACGAAAACCTAAGGTGGGTCTTCGCTTTCGTATATAACTACGAAAACAAAGACCCCCTAACGAAAACCCGTCCTCGTTTTCCTAGTACGAAATCAACGACCCATAACATATTTGTGTAGTTATTTTTATAGTAAAAATTACCGTGCGTTTGTATGGACAAGCGCTGGCCCAGTTGCCGAGATCTCGCTTAAAAAAGGCGAGGCCTCGTTTATCGTTCTCCTTATAAACACTCACAAGCAGGCTGGCCCAGTTGCTGATTTTTAACAACAAGCATATTTTAATTTGGTCAACTGCATGTTGTCATTGTTCGACTGAGATATTATATTTATATTGAATATTTATAGAACGTTCTGGAAAAATTCAGTGTTACAATAACAGTCTCCAACACATGTATCAACTCATAAGAATAACTTTTGTTTTATTTGAGATGGAATTATAATATCAGCTACCGTACGTTGTCGATGGAGGCTTTCAGTATTATTTAGCATTATTAGTTTTGCATTTTCCCATTGATTCTTATGACCTGCATTTTTTACGTTTTCTAAATTCCTGGGCGATAGGCCGTGACTGATGGGGGCCTCTAACTGTTGCCGGACAAATAACCCTACCCATGAGCGCTACGCCACTGCATGTGACAATACAACAAAATGAAACTAAAGTCATAAGTATCATTTTAAGTGTTAACACGCCTTTTGCCGAAGAAAAAGAACACTTCGTTTTAATAACAGCTAGCGGAAGTCTGCTGCGGTTGCCACGTTGTAAAATTTAGCCGGTGGCTGTGGGTATACGAATTATTTAATGATTGCATATTTATTTTAATTGTTATGTTATGTCACAGCTTCTAGTTTGCTCTAGCCATTGGCATTAGCCATTTTAACGTGTTTATTTTGTTTAATTTTAGTTTGCAATTCCTGGAGTCTTTAGTGTCCTAGCTGGATACAAAAGGCAGTCAAGTTTGGTAAGGAATGCTTTCATTTCGTATGGCGTATGGGCTTATTATCAACCTCGTACCCAGGCCTTCCAGCGGTCAAAAGTCTCCGGCTTATAACAGTGTTCACTGTTCAGTAAGACCGATTGAGTTCCAGTAGTTGAAATCCGTAACCGTCGTTTTTCTTATAATATAAAAGTGTTTCGGCCATTTTTCTTTCAAAGATAAACAGGAAGACTTTGTTTAGGATTTCGTTTAAAAACTTAACTAAAACTTATAAAAGAAGCTCACAAAGGAGCGAGACTATAATAGGCCTCCCGTATGGTCACAACTTCATATAAAGAAACTTATTCAATAGGCTAGTAGACCTATAAGCACAATATAAGCATACAAGTTCAACTTGTCTTTTCTATTAAAAACAGGAAATAAAAAAAAATCGTTTAATTAAATTGAGCTTGCGGAACCATTGACGCATGCCGACAAACAAAAGCTAATTTTAAACAAGTTAATTTTATTGGATTTAAACGAGACTTATAGTAGCCGAGTCACGAATTGCTACTGTATACAGGGGGATATTTCCAGGGGATATTTAGATTAGATCTATTTGATTAACAAAATACAGTTTTGATGAGTTGTCCAACCGGCGACGTTTTAACTTAAATGCAATATGTGATAGCGTCAGGAGAGCATTTAAGAGCAGCGGCCAACCAGATCGCGTGACTGCCAATTCTCATGCACTCGAAAATGGTATTTGTGCTGAGAATGACACTGAAAACTAGTGGGAATGGCGGAACCCATACTCCCATTTTGATAAAGACAGCTGGACATTTCAGAGTTTAAATTATCAAAACATAACCGTTCAAGGAAAGCTACGACGCAAATTTTGATTGAGGGTTGTCTGAACATGTATGGGTTATTTTGAGGCAACGAGGAGATATGTGATTTATTCACCGAGCGCCGAGGTGAATAAACACTGATCCCCGGGGTGCCTCAAAATGACGTACTTATTTTTCACATTGCGAGGTCGCGTTAATGAGTCAGAATAGAAATAATTCTTAATGCCATATTGCCTTCATGATGTTGTTTTTTCTCATTTTTTTGTGCTGCAAAGACATTGCAGGTGAATATTAGAGGGGATTATTGAATGGAAATTGATTAGAGGGGAATATTGAATATATTCCCCGACCGTGGAACAAAGGAAACCGAGCAGGGTGAAAATAAGTCCTGAAAGACTGTATTGCCCCCCCTTTTCCTGCTCCTTGGTCAGCTGTTCTTATATGTTTTCCCAAGACTATCATGTATTGTATTTAAGTCAAAACACAGTTGAAACAATCATCAAACCAGTTTATTTTGTTAATATAGAGCTTGAAATGTCCCCCGTGATAATGTGCGACTGCCAACTCTCATGGGGGAGGGGGGGGGGGGGCAAGGG